CTGCGGCACCGGTTCGATCCCCGACTGCTCCCCGGCCACCGGAGGAGGATCCCACATGGTGCGCAGACCTCTCCTGCCACCCGCTGCTCCCCTCAGCAGTGTACTTCAGTCCTTCTGCCTGCTCTGCTCCCCACTCTGGCTCTGGTGAATTCTCTCACCCTCCCACGCTTCTGACTGTACCCAGTGCATGTATAAACAAAACAAACAAATTAAATAAATAAATAAATAAATAAATGAAAACATGCCTCTATAAAAAAAAAAAAAAAAAATACTGACCAAGCAAAACTTGTCTAACATCAAAAAAATGTTAGACCACATTGCATATGATTAATCAAAGTAGGGAGAGAGGGGACAGGAGCTGGTGGGAAGTACGTCCATGTAAAAATGTGACAGTGAGATGGAAGCCAGTGAAGATGCTGGAGATGCATGCACAGCTAGACCATCACCTCTCAGGATTCTTGGCCTCTGCTCTCCCTCCCCCCCACTAGCTGTGGGCCTCAGAGAGCAAGAAACCAACCAACCACTGAAACAAGAGATGTTTTGGCTGAACTATCTGACTACTTCCTAATCACTCCTTTAAAAAAAAAAAAAAAAAAAGATTTATTTATTTATACCAGAACTGGGATACAGGCCAGAGATGCGGGAGGGTGAGAGAATTCACCAGAGACAGAGTGGAAAGCAGAACAGGCAGACAGACCAAAAGAGCTGCTGAGGGGAGTAGCAGGTGCAACAGGAGAGGTCTGCCGCGCCATGTGGGTATCTCCCTAGCTGGCCAGGAATCGAACCTGCACTGCAGAGGCTGCGGATAGCTTCACAGTGCCTTGCTCAACCTGCTGTACCCCCAGGGAGGCCCTAATCACTTCTTTTTTGAGAATACTTTTCCTGTCTCAGAAAAGTCTGAACCATAGAAATGCAAGAAACAAAATAGCATAGCATATTAAAGATAATGCCTATACTCTAGCCATCAAAAGATGATTCTGCCTCTTTGTACAACAGAAAGAGACACTGAGTCCAATCCACTGGTTAATTTGGGTACAGGGGTTGGGGGTGCAAAGCAGCCAAGGATCCTTTTCTGTATACTAGGTGTACACACCCTGCTCCCAGGACTTGCAGGAACCCCATCTCCACTGGCACCAGCAACGGTTGTAAGGGTTGCAAGTCCAATATTCCCTGCCCTGACTGTCTGCATGTGACAGCTGCAGTTAATTGTTGGAACTGATTTAGAATATAAATGCCCTCATGCCAAAAGGCTGCATCATTGGCAAGCCTTGGACATAATCTCTGGTGGTCATGAGTTCAGCAAATATGGGAAAAATGCCTCTGGTGAGATTTGCCACCTTTGATTCCCTAGATCAGATGATCGGAAATAACAAGGCATCCCTGATACAAAGCACTGTTTGTTTCAAAAGTAAGCAAAATACATTGGGGGGAAAAGGCCCCAAATCCCAGTCTCCTCTCCCACATCTGGACATTATAATTATTTATCAAAGGCTGTACACCATGAGCGGGAACACTTCCATACTTGCATGTAAAATATGAGCTTTTCACCCTTATTTATTCATACTCAGTATAAACAGTAACACCTCACCATGACACACAAATGCATTTTCCTATTAAACAAAATTGTACTAATTTTATTATAACTTGTTGAAGTTTACTCCTATGATTTATATTTTTATAAATCATGGTTTTATGAAGCCTGTGAAATAGCACCATGCGACAGAGACTACATCTAGCTTAATAACTTTGTTTTTTTCTTTGTCTCCCGCAAATTAACCAATAATGTCAGATGTCTTACCTAGGAACTTGTGTCAAAATAACTCTCCTGCTCTGAACTGAAAAGTTAATATTCATAGTAGGATTTCAGAGAAATCTTCAGTATCTGAGTGGATTTGAAATTATCACACAACTAGCAGTGATAATCAAGTGCTAGGAGAAATATTAGTCAATGTTTTTAACATAACCCTGCATTACAAAACTAGAAGCAGAGGTTAAAATTACAATCTTCGTTTCACCCATCTCCTCTCCCATAGTTGGAAATTACGATGTACAATTAAAAAGCTGTACATCGGGCCTCCCCTGGTGGCGCAGCGGTTGAGCGCTTGAGCGCTTGGCTGTGAAGCTGCCCGCAGCCTTTGCAGAGCCGGTTCGATCTCCGGCCACCCGCGAGGGTCCCACATGGTGCAACAGACTTCTCCTGCCACGCCTGCTGCTCCCCTCAGCAGTGTATTTCAGTCAGTCTGCCTATTCTATTCCCGCTCTGGCTCTGGTGAATTCTCTCACCCTCCGGAGCTTCTGACTGTACCCAGTGCTTGTATAAATAAATAAATAAATCTTTAAAAAAAAAAAAGGCTGTACATCATCAGGCCATTATTGCTAACTTCTCAAAAGGCTTATGTTTCACAACGGCAAACTTGCAGTTAGCACAACAAACATCTTTTGGTATGAAATCACCACAACCCACATTAAATTTGTAGAACAACCAAACATTGCTGAGATCTGTTGAAGTGGTATGTGTTGCCTAACATAAAAGAAGGTTGACTGACCCCTGCACACACCCCTATGAAACATGGGTGAAGAAGGTAGAGATAGTTCACCTTTTCTTTAAATGTACTCGCTCGCTGACTTGATAGAATCAGTATAAATTACATCACCAACTAAAAATAAAAAGGGCCTATGGCTCCACACTTAAGATGAATTTTCTGAAGCCTCATTGGGTAAACACTGACGAGAACAGGTAGTTTTCTTTCTAAACTGGGATCTGTTGATGGGAACAAACAAAACTCAGAGTCTCCTGCTTACTTCAATTTCCATTTGGCTTTTCACCCTTATTTATTCATACTCAGTATAAACAGTGACACCTCACCATGACACACAAATGCATTTTCCTATTAAACAAAATTGTACTAATTTTATTATAACTTGTTGAAGTTTGCTCCTATGATTTATATTTTTATAAATCATGGTTTTATAAAGCCTGTGAAATAGCACTTGACATTTTCTGACAGCCAGACTGACCAAGTAGAAAGTACATTAATCTGCACAGATCTTGCAAGTCAGAAAAGCTGAGTTTGAATCATAACTGGCTGTGTGAGAAGTAAAGCAAACCAATTTGGGAGATTCAGAGGCTTACCTTACAATCTCTATTCAGGTGAATGAAAGGTAAAGCTAGGCCGTGGTGCATAATGCCCTTTATTCAATTTCCCTAAAGGAAGTTACCAAGTTCTCCATATTTAAATAAGGGGGACCTACAACAGCCAAGATATGGAAACAACTTCAGTGTTCTAATGCATATCACACGAATAAAGATGTATGTAATGATATATATGTAAAGTATATGTAAAGATATATGTTATCTATGTAAACATATGTTATATATGTAAAGATATATGCTATCTATGTAAAGATATATACTATATACGTAACAGAGAGAAATATTATTCAGTCAAGACAAAAAAAGAAATCCCATTACTTGCAGCAGCATGGATGGAACTTGAGAGCATTATGCTAAATGAAATAATGAGACTGAGAGAGACAAGTACTCTCTAACACTTACAGGTGAAATCTAAAAGAGCTGCCTCATAAAAACAACAGAATAGTGGAAACCGGCATGGGGAGAAATTGCTCTAAGAGTGAACACCTTTGAAGACCAAGTATAATTACAGTTACAAGATACATAGTATCATATACTTGAAAGTTGCTAAGAGGATAGATCTTTAAACTTACTCACCACAAAAAATGAACGACAATTACATGCCTGATGGAGGGATTAGTTACTGCTACCGTGGCAATCATTTTGCAATGTAAATATGTCATCAAATCAAGGCATTGCTAAGCCTTAAAGTTACACAATGTTATGTGTAACTGCATCTCAAAGATTGGAAAAATAAAAACATAAATGAACAGTGCCTAAAACGTAAAAGGAAGTGAACAACTTTCTCCTAAAATTAAGTTCCTTCTAAAGCTATTAAGAGAACAGGTCTTTAGGCCACTGTTGTAGTTTAAACTGATTTGGCGTTAAGGAAATTGAGTGGGGGTGGAACTGACAGACCAGCACTAAAGACAGTCATTGAACTGCCAGTTTTCGGGAGGAACCCGATATTTCATCCTTCCCCTACAACATCCTCTTTTGGGGACCCGGTTTTCACCCCACTCCCCCAAAGGCTTCCCCGTCCACCGTCTCCTCTCATCCCTTTTGTTTGATTTTTGCTCTTAAACAGCTCTCCCTCCGCCCTGTCTCCCACCTCTTTGAACGTTACCCCGAAGTTGAATCGGGGCACCCCAGGATAGCTTCCCAAGCTCCGGGGTCCCTCTAGACTAGCACGAAATAGCCCGCGGTCCGCTCTGCCCCAGGCTTTCCCCTCGGGATCACTCCCCCAAGGGCTCTGCGGCCGAAAAGAGGATCCCGGCCCGCGCCCCGAAGCCACAAATCTGTTCCCCGGGCTGCCCCACCCGGCTGCCACCGCCCTCCCGGGGCGCTTTCCTCAAAGAGGACTCGACCGGGTCCCGCCCCGGCTCCGCAAACCCGGCCGGGCCCGTGGCACCGCCGCGCGCCGCCCGCGCCGCTCTCCGCAGTCCCGGGCTGGCTGCAGCGGAGGAAATGACCCAAAAGTTGTTGCTTTGAGTCAAGACTTCCGCGCGCGGAGACGCCCCGTATCCACCGCGACGGTCCAGGGCTGCGCCCCTGCCGGGCAGAAAGCGCTGAGGGGACCCCGCGCCTCCCCAGGTCTCCGGGGCGCCGGCCGGGGTGCAGCAGGGCGCAGGGCCCCGGGCGGCGGCGCATTGCGGCTCCGGGACAGCGGCGCCCGCTTCCCGGTTTCTACCCCCGCCCCCGCGCGACCCTCGCGGCGGCCGAGGGTCCCCCAGACCCCGTCCCGCCCCTCCCCGCCCCGAGGAGGGGGCGCTGCCCACGCGCCATCCCCAACTTCTCCCCGCGCCGCCTAGGGCTCCCGAGCGGGGGCCCGCGCGCCCGCGCCGTCCGCCCCAGTGCCCCCACTCACCGATCTCCCCATCCTCGTCGTCGTCTTCCTCCATTTCTAACAGAACGTCCCTGTTAGTCATCTGCATGGCTCCCCCCGAAGGCGGGCCCGAACTTGGCGCGAAGTTGGGGTCCGGGGCGGCGGGGCCGGCGGGGCCGGCGGGGCGCGGCTCTCCCGGCTCAGGGCCGCGGCGTGCAGCCGCGCTCAGGGAAGCGGAGACCTGGGCGCAGACGGAGCGCAGCGCCCGCGGAGACTCGCGCCGGACGGCCACTGAGCATGCCCAGTGCGGACGGCGCTGGCGAGTGAGCCGCCCGGGTTTGTGAGCAGCCGGGAGGAAGTGGGGGGACCCTGGCACGGGCGCGGCCTCCGGGAGAGAACCCGCCCCGGGGAGGCGAGCGCGCGCGGGCGGCGGCGCACAGGGCTCCCCAAACGTGTTCCCGGAACGAGGCAGCTTTCTGCTCCCAGGTTATATATGGTCACATCCTGGGACTTGCTGCCATTGACAAATGTGACTTGCTGGGCGACGCACCCTGCAGGGGAGCACGTTGGACAGACATTTAAAGGCGACACAGAGCTAAGGAAGAGCCCAGAGTATCTTTACTCCTGATCCAAAGTGGGGCGAAGTGGCTTCTGTAAGGGAAGTGGAGAGTGAATTTGTAACAGGGTGGTCCCCAGGAAAGGGGGAGGTTCCAGGTTCTCTGCCCCACCCAAATGGAGGGTGGAGCTGAGCAGGGAGAGGAGAAGCTGCTGAAGAGACTGAGGAAGGAAGGAGCAGGGTGGAGAGCCAGAAGGAGACGTGGAGGAGGCACGTGGAGCCTAGAGACACGTGAAGAAACTGCGCTTGTCTTTTGGTCGTGGACTGGGTGACACAGATGTGGGTGAGACCCGTGGGGAGGTGACAATGGCAGCTTTTAACTTGATTTTGATTTTGCTCTTTTCCTTCTGGGCTTGTCTGGTTGTTTCTGACCCTTTTCTGTGGGTCCCCACTGGAAGATGCTTTAGACTTGTGGCAGGCTTTGGGGCCTTGCTCTGGGCCAATCCCATTTGGATGGAATTTTACCCACGAGGGGACGGGTAACTTTGGGTGCTTGATTTAGAAACTATATTCTTTGCCTTTCCTGTATTGTTTCCGAATTGTATTAAAGTTCCTTCCCATTAAAGTCTCATATGTTTTGTGTTGCTGCGGCGGATGGCAGAACCCATTTAGAATAGGCAGGTTTGTGGGGTCTGGGCTGCCCCTCTCCCTGCCCTGTAACAACTTCACACAGAAAAAGAAGCCAAACTCAGAGCCCATAAGCATCAGGCAATAAGGAGCGAAATCTAAAGGAACGTGTGCACAAAACACTGGTAGATTTCTGCAAAAAGGGAGATTTAGGAGGAGAAGGAAGCGCCTCCTACCCCCCCCCAAAAAAAAACATGGGGCACATCCAAATGAGCACCCACGTGTGCACCTATCTGGGCCTGAGAACTTAGTTCTCCTTCTAAAAGGGCCAAAAGCTCCTCCCTGGTGGCACAAGGGGTTGAGCACCGCACTATGAAGCAATCCACAGCCTCTGAAGCACGAGTTGGGTCCCCAGCCGCCCAGGGAACAACCCACATGACACAGCAGGCCTCTCCTGACTCGCCTGCTGCTCCCCTCAGCAGTGGATTTCATCTGCCTGTTCTGTTCCCAGCTCTGTCTCTGGTGAATCCTCCACACACAAACACACACACACAGACACACAGACACACACACACCCCCCTCCATCTCTGGCCTGTGCCCCAGCTCTTGTATGCATAAATAAATAAATCTTTATTAAAAAAAGGGGGGCCAAAAACTTCCACTGTGATTATATGGAAATGTCATTTGAACCCAGGGTGGAAAACGAGCAGAAACAGATGAAACACGGTAATGAAATGAAGTGAAGGCAGAAACAAAAAGAATGTGTTTCTGGAGCCCAAAGGGACATGATGAATTTCTATTTTTTTTAAAAGATTTATTTTTATTTATTTATACAAGCACTGAGTACAGTCAGAAGCGCGGGAGGGTGAGAGAATTCACCAGAGCCAGAGCGGGGAGCAGAGCAGGCAGAGTGATGAAGTACACTGCTGAGGGGAGCAGCGGGCGGCAGGAGAGGTCTGCGCGCCATGTGGGACCCTCCTCTGGTGGCCGTGTTATAGGACAGGGAGAGGGTCAGCCCAAACCCCGCAAACCTGCCTATTCTAAATGGGTTCTGCCATCCGCCGCATCAACACAAAACATATGACACTTTAATGGGAAAGATCTTTAATAAAAACTAGGAAACAATACAGGTGAGGCAAAGAGTCTAGTTTCTAAATGAAGCACCCAAAGTTACCCATCCCCTCGTGGGTAAAAGTCCATCCATATGGGATCGGCCCAGAACAAGGCCCCAAAGCCTGCCACAAGTCTAAAGCACCTTCCAGTGGGGACCCACAGAAAAGGGTCACAAACAACCGGACAAGCCCGGAAGGAAAAGAGCAAAATCAACATCAAGATAAAAACTGCCATTGCCACCTCCCCACGGGTCTCACCCACATCTGTGTCACCCAGTCCACGACCAAAAGACAAGCAGTTTCTTTACGTGTCTCTAGGCTCCATGCGCCTCCTCCAGGTCTCCTTCTGGCTCCATCCTGCTTCCTTCCTTCCTCAGTCTCTTCTCCAGCTTCTCCCCTTGCTGCTCAGCTCCACCCTCCCTTGGGTGGGGCAGGGAACCTCCCCCTTTCCTGGGGATCACCCTGTTACAGCCGGGGAGCAGCCGGGGATCGAACCGGTGCTGCAGAGGCTGCGGGCAGCTTTGCAACCCAGCTCTCAACCGCTGCGCCACCAGGGAGGCCCATGAATGTCTATTTTTAAGCCCCATGGGATAGTTCTGAAAGTGGAGATGTTACACAGCAGCCCGGATATAAAACGGCAATTCACTACAAACAAATTACACACAGACACACAGAATCTTGACAAAGCCCAAGCCAGTTTTTTTAAACAGCAAATCTACACATGAAATAAACACACTAGAGATACCAAAAATCACATTTGTGCTTCTGGTAGCCAGTGCCATAGGGAAGCCCAATTTCCCCATGGGGCTGACTAACCACGGATGGCTCTCTCCTAAATCACGTTGGGTGCCAAATCTGTTACAGAGCAGCCCCAATATAAAACAGGTTGCCTGGCTGTGGGTCCTCACCCACGCACTTAAAAGGGACATTAATACCCCACTGCAGGCACACACAGAAGCTTAATAAAAGGTTTATTTACAAGGGAAGGGGAAATGAGGAAATGCATAACTCAGGGAGAAAATAGGGAAATAAAATCTTAAATGCGCCCTACCCTGTCCGCTGACCTGAAAACCCAATGACACTCCAAAAGCTGGCAGAGAGCCGCGCGTTGGCGGAGAGCCAAAAGGACACCCCCCCAAAGCCCACGTGTCTGGTTTTATACCAAACCTGGCTGCTTAACTGCACCCTCAGGTCCCATCCACCTTCCCTTTGGTGGTGATGGGTGAAAGGTCCATGCAGCAGGCCCGAATGAAAAAGCCTACCTGGAAGCCCACCTGGGGGGCAGGAATGCGGATACCAGCCTGGAGGACTCAGACAATGAGCCTCCCCCCTCCTGCTATGAGTCTCTTCTCAGACAAAGAACCTCTATGTGCCCCACGAAATTCCCCCCCCAACAAACACCCCCCCACACACCCCCCCCCCCCCCCCCCCGCTGTAGGAGCCCAGTTTCCCACCTGACCTCTCCTCACCCTATAAAACCCTGCTTCCCCCTGACAACTTGCGCGGCTTCACTGACCCCCACCTTGGGTGCGTGAGGTCCGCCCGTGGCGCAATAAACTTTCCCTCCCCTTGAGAAATTTAGCCTGGCTCTCCTTTTCTTTACCAAGGCGAACCTTTCAATGGGATTTGTCTTTCCCAATGTCCTGATGGCTTTGGCCTGGAGTGGGGGTGGAGTCCACAAAACCTGTATGGAATTAGCTTTAGGACATCCTTTTCCCCCTAACAGAGAGACACCCTCCCCCACCCCCAAGCTGCTTGTGGGCAGTGCATGTGGGGGACCCTGGAAGAAGACACAAGCCAGCTGGGGCCTCCAGTCTTTGGTGAACTCTCATGCTCACTCTGGGGAGGAAGCTGCTGCGGGTCTCCCAGGAGAGGCTTTGGCCCTGGGCCTCTGGGCAGCCCTGACCAACTTGTGGCTCCTGGCCTCAGGAGAGAGGCTGGGACTCTCAGCCTTTGTCACTGACTCAATCCTGGCCTCCAAATGAGACACAGGGCAAGCTAGGAATTATGCAGTTTTAGGGACAGTGCGGGAGGAGACCTCTGAAGAATTTAGGGAGGCTTCAGAGATAAGGACAACCAAGGGAATGTAACCAATTCCACTGGGAAAAACAAACATCCCAGAACCAAGGACAATGTTAACAATGGTCCTGTAACAGGGTGGTCCCCAGGAAAGGGGGAGGTTCCCTGCCTCACCCAAGGGAGGGTGGAGCTGAGCAGGAGGAGGAGAAGCAGAAGAGACTGAGGAAGGAAGCAGGATGGAGCCAGGAGACCTGGAGGAGACACATGGAGCCTAGAGACACGTGAAGAAGCTGCGCTTGTCTTTTGGTCGTGGACTGGGTGACACAGATGTGGGTGAGACCCGTGGGGAGGTGACAATGGCAGCTTTTATCTTGATGTTGATTTTGCTCTTTTCCTTCCGGGCTTGTCTGGTTGTTTGTGACCCTTTTCTGTGGGTCCCCACTGGAAGATGCTTTAGACTTGTGGCAGGCCTTGGGGCCTTGCTCTGGGCCAATCCCATTTGGATGGACTTTTACCCACGAGGGGACGGGTAACTTTGGGTGCTTCATTTAGAAAATAGACTCTTTGCCTTACCTGTATTGTTTCCTAGTTTTATTAAAGTTCCTTCCCATTAAAGTCTCATATGTTTTGTGTTGATGCGGCGGATGGCAGAACCCATTTAGAATAGGCAGGTTTGCGGGGGTTTGGGCTGCCCCTCTCCCTGCCCTATAACAGTCCCAGTTTTCTTCAGGTGGTAAGATAATGTGTAGAGATGCTCACCTGGAGGAATAAACCATAAAGATAAAGCGATAAGCATAACAAATGGGGAAAGACAGACCTGTTAGATAAGGAATGTGAAGATCCCCCACTCAGTAGCAAATTAAGTGAGACAGCCGAGAACTGACCAATCACAAAGAGACTGGTGGAGCTTTAGAATAATGAGGGAAAGAAAGTATATATTCCCTGAGACACGACTCCACTTTGGCTTCCTTGCCCCTCCCTGGCCTCGTTTCATGGTCTGGGAGTCCCACTTTATTTCTGTTCTTTTTCTCCTCAATAAACTTTTTTTCTCTAAACAAATCTGCCTCTTCTTGCTTGCTTGCCTGAGCGTCTGCGAAGTTCCTGCTGCGGCTTCGTGAGACACCAACCCGTGGAGGTCTAGCGGCTGGGGCTCAGCGCTG